TTTCCATTTAAACCGCACTAGAATAGTTTCCGCATTCATAAACATTCAACTAGAGTTGGTTTGGGACTCGACCAATAGTTAATAGCATTCATGACCATTGGACTAGGAATATTTCTGGCATTGATAGACACTGGGCTAGAATAATCCATTCCCTTCTCTAATGACCGAGTATTCAAACTTTTGAGACATAGAATAGTTTTTTCCACTAATGCAGGGCCTCGGTTTCTGTGTTGATGCAGGGCGACAAAGTTAGGAGGAAAGATGACTGGGACAAATGGTTAATTCCGAAAGAGAGCAACCCTAATATTCCGTCAAGCTCTGCAGCAGCTGTGCCAAGCCCCAGCACCAATGTGAATGATCTGACAGCACAGCTTGGAGGTGTGGGCCTGCAAGAACCAGCTGGCCCTAGTAGCACGGTGGACCAGAACCATCATGAGGTAGTCCAGAATGGATCGGCTTCCAGCAATAACCCAGCACCGGCAGCTGAAGAAAGCGCTGGTCAGCGCTAGCCACACACCGTCTCATTATCACACCATGACTGCAAGGGTTTTTGTCCGAGCGCGAGTGACGAGAGTAGAAATGATGATGATACTTTGCGATTTTTGGAAGGTGGTATGCTTGCGGGGTTGCATTAGACTGACAAGCGGGTTCGTTTTGCGGGGTTGATGTGGCTTTCTGGTTATTGGTGAAAATCGGCCTACTAGCTGAAACGATAGGCGGCCAAACAAAAAGGTTTATCGTGTAGGGGGGCATCAAATGCGATGAGGGGGAGAAGCTGAAGAAGAGGATGGAAAGACGCTGCTGATTAGGGCTAGTTGCTTAGTGTGCGGTTCCCGACCGCTGTCGGTTATTTTGGCTATGTGGGTTATTGAAGTCCAAAACTCTGTCGGTTTCTTCCCCCCATTTGGATTGGATGTAAACCTCCATTTTTTGACGGAGGATGATGATGTGATGAACTCTCTTGTCAGCTGTTTCGCCAAACGAGAATGTTGTACAACTCCTTGGTGTACTATTTTACAGACATTTCCTCTCGTGTGCTGTGTTTGGTTGCACCCTCCCATGTGGCTCTGGGAGACGTTGTTGGTCGTGTTGTGTTATTGCTTGCTTCTCCTGTTGATGCATTGTTGCTCTAGTTTTTGGTTTACAATTGCTTACGGTGTGCAGATGCTTTTGTTCTGCATCTGCGTGTCATTGGGTGGCGCTATGCTGGAAGTATGATGTATGCAATCCCAATGGAATTCCAGCAATTAGGATGAGCATGCAGTGGCGAGAAGCTGGAGCTACCAATACACGATCCACCAACAGTTTAAACCGTGAGGTACACCATGGGCAATGCCACCATCTGTGTGCTAATGCTGAATATTCTGATGGAGGCATCGTGCATTTAGGATGAGCGTTGCAATGCTGGCAATATGTATGCCATCTATATGCAGACCATGTTTTTCTTTTTTCTACTCTGTTCAGTTATTTTTATATATACCCCTAAAAAAGTTATTTTGAGATATATGCAGTAACAAATTCATTATAATAATACTGTAAAAGAGAGGAATTTCGGCGATTGGGATGAGCATACAGTGGTGACAAGCTGAAGCAGCTACACCTAACAGTATAGAGTTACTAGAATCTAGCTACAGGCCATACTGATCAACAATTGCAGCTGACGGTTGAACGCCAATTTCTGATGTTCAACCAAATGTTGCTTAACACTAACATGGGTGACATTGTGCACATTGTCTCTTCCTCTGTATCTGTAGACAAGAGAATGTAAACAAGGCACCTGAGGTATATGCTTTACGGGAAAAAGATCTGCAGAAAAGTCCAGCAAAAAGGAGCCGGAAGTGGAGTTTCTACTCCCAGCCTCCCAGGTGCATATATACTCCTACACAGTAAAATGCGAAAAAATAGTAAATATATTTTTAAAATCTGATTTTGTTTTGTAACAAATATAGCTGAATGTTTCGCCTGCATGCGCATAGTCCGGGAACAAAAATATATTTCCTAATGCTCTATGAAAAATAGACACAACTGATGCTAAAAAAAAGAGAAAAGGTAATTTCGAAACCATTATATTTTGGAGCACTGTTTTTTAAAAAAAAAATCAATGTCATTCCATCACAAAAATTTGCATGCAGTTAAAACATTCAGCAATGTTTATCCCCCAAAAAATATGATCTTATTTTTCAATTATTTTGCTATTTTTTTAGCATTTCACTGTTCATCCACAAAAAAGACACTTCCGCAAAGGACCATCCAGGAAAAATTCGGGCATCCAGGAAGAATTTGACCGTGTCTAGCTAGGAAATAGATGGACGATGAGGTAGTTAGGTTGGGTATCACATAGATGAGGTTTCAGAGAAGAAAGAGATGTGGTGATTGAGTGAGGGCATCACACTGCAGGCCTGAAGATTGTGTAGGTGAAAACATTGATGTGTTACTTTCTTGTCCAAAGTTTTGTCCCATCATATGCAAATTCTCATGCACTACCGTTTAGACGTTTTCGACTT